GATGAGGCTTTCTGCTCCCATAAAGATTTACAGCCTCGGAAACCCTGTACAGGGTCGCTATGAGTCGGAACCGACTCCATGGCACATAACAACAACAAAGTCTTAGAAGTTGTTGTTAAATGCCGTTGAGGTTCAAGTTCCGTTGAGGTGCCTTTTGGTTCAAGCTGACATCTCAATCAAGAGCATTAGCCCACAGCGCCACAAAGTCTTAGAAGGGTGACCATCATAAAGGAAGAGCCAACTCGTTCCTGTGTTTACTATTACTACCTGAAAGTCCTGGTGTAGCGCTGCAGGATAATGCATTGGACCCTAACGTCATTTTGTACCGCAAGGTTGGTTGTTTAAACTCACCAGACGCTCCTTGGAAACCCTATACAGGGTTGCTATGAGTCGGAATCGACTCCACGGCTCTTAACAACAATCTGAAAGGCAAGCGAGAGTAGCACCTATGGAAGAGAAGAGCATCCACCAGGGAGAGAAATGACGGAAGCGTTAGGAAAGGCAGGTGTGGAGCTGGGCAGGGCCAGGATGACAAAGGAATTGTGGCAGTGGGGCCGTGTGCTGTGGAGTCGGTTCCGTCTTATAGTGACCCTGCACAGGGTTTCCGAGGTTGTAAATCTTTACGGGAGTAGAAAGCCTCATCTTTCTCCTGCGGAACAACTTGTAATTTCTAACTGCTAACCTTCAAATTCGTAGTCTGATTTGTAAACACTAGGATTCCAGAGCGCCTGCTATCTGGCTCACAAGTCCTTCAGCGGTGGCTGGCGCCCTCTATAGGTATACGGGAGAACTGAAGGATGGGCCTTGGTTAGGAAGCGTCCTACACACAGGTGGCCGGGGCACTGACTGGGCTGGCCTCAGCTCTCCTTGTCTCACGTTTCATTACTAAGAGCTAGTGTGTGCTCAGGTGAAATGGGATTATGAGCTGTGTGTGGTCGTGTGGAAGATAGGGCTCCTTGGTGACAACCATCTGGGTGGTAGAAGCATTGAGTTCCTGGAAGCCTGAGTGCTGGTCCCAGGTTGCCTTGCCCTGGCTGTGTGACTTTGGGCTGCACACTGCCTTCTCTGGGCATCAGTTCTCACCTGTGAACACTAGATTGGACTGGGTGATTCTCAAGACCCCGAGCACTATTGTGGGCACTCCCATGATTCCGTGTATGCCAGTGACAACAGTGAAGGAAGCAGTTTTGGGACAGAGCTGTGTGACACACGTAGACACGTGTGTGTGCATATCGGTGCCTGAGAACGCATGCATATGTGTCTGAGGTGGTGTGGCCCCTTCTCCTCTTAGACACTTCTCGGCGGCCCAAGGACTCGGAACGGGAAGGCCAGGGTTACAGTTTTGTGTCCCGTGCGGAGATGGAGGCCGACATCCGTGCCGGGCGCTACCTGGAACACGGCGAGTACGAGGGCAACCTGTACGGCACCCGTATAGACTCCATCCGGGGCGTGGTTGCTGCCGGCAAGGTGTGCGTGCTGGACGTCAACCCCCAGGTACTGCCCAGCCCCCGCCTCCCCAACCTGCCCAGTATCCCCACCTGACTCTCCGCTGTTGCCCCCATCTTCCCTCATCTACTTCCATGCACTGCACGTGTCCTCCAATTATTCCCCTTCACCTGTTGCTGGGGACCCAGCCTGGCTGGAACCTCTCTCTCTCAGCCTCCCAGCTCACCCAATTCCTCCGCTGGTTTCCTCCAATGACCCCACCTCCTGTCTTCTTATCCTGCCTGGTCCCAGGATGTATGCCCCAGATCCCCAGGAATTTTCCCTCATCCATCCCCAGTCACCCTCACATAGCTTTCTCCAGTCCTCAGGGTATATAAGGGAATATACTCCCTGACTCTCCACCTCTCTCCTCCTGCAGGCAGTGAAGGTGCTGAGAACAGCCGAGTTTGTTCCTTACGTGGTGTTCATTGAGGCCCCTGACTTTGAAACACTGCGGGCCATGAACCGGGCTGCCCTGGAGAGTGGAGTGTCCACCAAGCAGCTCACGGTAAGGGTGTCTGAGTCCTGAGATGTGGTGGCTGCCTAGGGTGGCTTTGGGAGTCGCCAGCTGATGAAGGAAAGGGGAGAAGATCATGATTAGCCAAGTTGTCAGTGAGGTCTGAGAGAGGACATGAAATGGCCAGAGTCTCCTAGGGAATCAGGGACACAGCTAGCCTAGATGTAGGAGCAGGAACCAGAGGCCAGGGGGAGGTCCGATTTGCATTTGAGGCTGCTCCTGGTGTGGCGCTGAAGGATAGCACTGGACTGGTAGCCACAAGGTCGTCAGTTCAAACCTACCAGTTACTCCTCAGAAATCTATACAGGGTCACTATGAGTTGGAATCAACTCGACAGCATTTAACAGCGACAACAGCTTGGGGAAAGCTGAAGGGAGGGAGGAAGCCAGAGGCAGGAAAGCTGAATAGAGAAGGCGCTTCAAGCCCCTGCCTGGGTGGACTCCAGGGTACCTGGATATGTGCCTTGCAGTGGCACTGAGGGTTAATGTGCTAGACTGCAAGGCCTGTTTGACCCGCAAGGTCGGTGGTTCAAGCTCATCAGCCGCTCTGCGAAAGCCCTATACAGGGTCACTATGAGTCGGAACCGATTCGGTGGCATTTCACAAGCAGCAGCCGTGCCCTGGAAGGGCACAGCTGTGAGCACAGGGGCCCTCTGCTGGTCATTTCTGGAACTGCAGGTCTTGCACCTCACACCTATTCACTGTCCCCTCTGTGACTGACTGGGACCAGGGGAGCTTTGGACCCTCTTCTGAGCCCTGCTCCAGCACCTCTGCTCTGGTAACAAACCCAGAAGACAGAGGCCTTTGGGAGAGAGCTGGATCAACCCTAGAACTCCTGCCCCAGCTTATTTAATTCAGTTGTCTGACCAGCTGTGTCTGGGTCTGAGAGGAGGTTGCCCCCTGCACTTGTGGGTGGCTCTGATAGGTCAGGGGACTTAAACTGTGGAAGGAGCACAGGCTGGCCATGTGAACTCTTTGTACCTCGGTTTCCTTCATTGTAGATTGTTGTTGTGAAGTGTTGTTGAGTCGGTTCCGACCCATAGCGACCCTCTTTAGGATTTCCGAGGAACAGCTGGTGAACTTGAACTGCCGACCTTGCAGTTCAAATGGCTTTGCAGTCTAGCGCATGAACCCACAGCTCCACACCAGGACTGTGGGGAGCTGTTATTCCCACCCTGCACCAACAGGCTGTGATGTTCCGTGGGCTTTTAACTGCTCAGGGCAGAGCTTGACGCTGAGTGAAGCATCTTTCCTTGTGTTTCTCCTTTTGTCCACGGTTCCAGGAGAGGTGTCGTGGGCATGTGGGGAGGGCCTGCCTGGCTGACGCAGAGGCTTTGGGGAAGGGTTGGCCATCAGGGTGAGTTGGGGCTCTGACTGGAGGTCCCCTTGTGCCGGGCAGGAGGCAGACCTGAGGCGTACTGTGGAGGAGAGCAGTCGCATCCAGAGGGGCTACGGGCACTACTTTGACCTCAGCCTGGTCAACAGCAACCTGGAGAGGACCTTCCGGGAGCTACAGGCAGCCATGGAGAAGCTGCGCACGGAGCCCCAGTGGGTGCCTGTCAGCTGGGTGTACTGAGCCCTGCTCAGCAGACCACACGTCTCTGGCTTGTGACCCAGAACCTTCAATCTGCCTCCTTCTCCAACCCTGGCCTCCAACCACTATCCTTAACCCTGTCCCTGGCTCTCTCTAAGGCTGGTGTCATTGTAAAAGAGTGTACTGCCATCGGGTGGGTGTTCATGGGGTACCGCTGTGCCCAGGTGCTGCCCACTCCCTACGTCCATTGGCCACCAGATGTCCCTCTTAGAGTGTGTCTGTCTCCCTTGATTATGCTCAGTCCAGAGAAGAGAACCGTTGCTTTGGGCCCATGCAGTCAGTGAGCCCACTGCCCTCTGCTGGCTGTCCCTTTCAGCTGCCTTATCTCCTCTGAACTGACTAGACCCACCCCATTCCTGCCTCTTCCCCCTCACCTCTACCCCTGTGTCCTAGGAGTGGGTGTGGGGCAGTTTCCATGTGGGTCACTGGCAGCCAAGCAGGCCTGGGTACCAGTGCCAGCTTGGTGTCAGTCTGAAACCTGGAGAATCAAAGCTTGAGCCAGTTGCCCTGGCTGCCGCAGCATCACTCTAAGTTCCCTTAGAACGGGGCAGTAGTCTCAGGAGTGGACACTGCCCTGTCCCTCCCTTATCTGCAGCGTTTCACTGCCGAAGTCTCTACAGACTTCACTGTGCCCCTGCCTGTCAGCTCTGGCCTCGCAGGGCGAGGTGGCTGGGCCAGCAGGCCCTGCCCAGATGGGGGTGGGTTGGAGGGCTGAGCCTTGTCTAAGGAGTCTGCTGCCACCCATGGTAGGGACACATCTGACCTTCCGCATGTGACCATTGTCCTTTGGGTCTTCTTTCTGGCTGGGCCTAGGTGCCCCACTCTCATCATCTGAGGGGCTGAGGTGAGTGCCTAGGGTACCTTGTACACTGGGTTCTGACTTATGGCTGCACAACCCCAGAGGGCGCAGTCACACTGTAGTATGCGTAGCCCAGCCCTCTGGGGCATTTGCTCTGTGATCCTGGCACTGCTGGGGGTATGCTAGGTCTGATTTGGGGGAGGGGAAGCAATGGGATTTTTTTGCTTTGAAGTCACTCTTTGGAGGCCCTTGTGGGTTCCCCAGCAGCCACTGTTTCTTATAAGACATTTCTTCTTCCCGGGTTCCAGAGCCTTGGCCCTCCCCAGATGTCTTCCTCAGACCCTCCTTTCTATTGTCCCTCTACCCTAAATGCCACCCCTAGTCTTTGTGGGGGGCAACTGTGTAAAATAGGAGAATCCCTTCTAAAACTGCTGCCCTGAACAACCCCCCTCCCCCCCGCCCCGCCCAGTCAGCTCACCCCTCATCCTTCTTTGCCATCTTTCCCTTGGTGAGCACGTTCTCACAGGGGAGCCCCTCCCCTGGTCCCCAACTCTGCCCTTCTGGTATCTGCAGTGTCAGCCCCAGCTGGCCCCTGAACCACTGTGTGCCCATTTCCTAGGGAAGGGGAGGGAGAATAAACAGAATATTTATTACAAATATTAGAAATATATTTATTATATTAGGAATATCATTTGCATTTGCATAGGATATGTAAATGAGAAATGGGTGGAGCCTGAACCTGCCCATGTCATATGCATAGCTCTGCACACACTATGCAGTCTCTTTATACCTTGGTTTCCCTTTGTCCGTGTCCTATTCATCCTTGATTCAGCCCAACTGGACTGGGAGGGAAATGAGGTGTTTGCCTGCCCAGTTTCCTCTGCCAGTTTCCACCTCACCTAGGGACTTGGGAGTTGAAGCAGGAAGCAGAGGCTGAATCCTGTTCAAGAACCTCTCCTAGGATGGTGTTCAGGCAGAGTGTTCAGGCAGAGTGGTGCCTTGTGGAGAGTTGGCCCTGGCTTTCTATAGCTCTCATGGGTGATGTCCAAGGGGAAGGGCAGGCATCGCCTCTCCTGCCTCTTCTCTGCCTCTCCTCTCTGCACAGCCGCCTGTCTCCCCTGTCTGAGCTCCCTTCCAAGAGCATTCTAGACACTTCTTGGAGGGGGGACAGGGTGGGGCTGGGTGGGAACCCGGGGATGTGCCCACCATATTTGCTCTGTGACTTTGTACCCTCCTCCCCTGCCCCCATCTCCCTCCCCTCCTTCAGCCATCCTCCGCTTTCTCTCTGCCTGGTTTTCTTTCTTTTCTTTTGATTAAATGTCAAAGCAAAGGCGTCTGGGCTCTATCTTTGGATGGGATTAGGCTGGGGAGTTGGGTGGATGCCTCAGGAGAGGGTGGTACCGAGAGCTGGGAGGCAAGGTATAGAAGATTTGGGAATGGAAGTTGGAGACATTGTGCACTACGTTGTCTGCCTTTCCCCTGCTCTGTGCCTCCATGCTCCTCACCCCAAGAAGTAGCTCTTTCTAAGTGCTTGCACCCAGCCTATGAACATTTATGAGGGCTGTGGGACTCGGAGCCGCCATGGCTAGCTAATTCACTCGTCCATCTGGAAGTGGGAGTCCTGGTGTGGCACTGTGGGTTAATGCGCTGGACTGCAAAGTTGGTTTGAACCACAAGGTCAGTGGTTCAAGCTCACCAGCCGCTCCTTGGAAACCTATATTACAGAGTCGCTATGGGTCGGAACTGACGATTCAGTGGCACTTAACAACAACCTGGCAGTTGCTGTGTGGCCTCTTGTCAGGAACTCTCCCAGTGACAACATGGGGACTAGTTCCAGATGCTCAACAACAGGGACCAAGCTGGTTGCAATGTCACCCTGTCACCCGGAAGTCACTATGAGGGGAGATTCTCACATGTCTGTGGAGACTTTAGCGTTGCTCTGAACACAGTCTACAGCCCTGTCTCCCTCTCTGGACTGTGTGTGCCTGGAGGGGGGAACGACACTGTCTTATACTCCTTTGCAAAAGACTTCTGACACCAATTCCTCAGAGTTAGGCCAAACTTCAAAGGTTGAGAGTCCAGTCCTCCCCAAGGTTGCCCACACCTCCGATACCATTTACAGGTTCAGGGTCATCTTCACTTCTGACCAGCTGGTTCCCTTAACTTTATGTTCAGGCATTTTCATTATACAAAGTTATATAAACTACACTTGAAAGTCTGTGCCCCTTCTCTCTACCCCTCCCCTACACCCTGTCCAGAGGTAAGCACGGTTAGCGGGTTGTATGTCTCTTTCTGGGCCTTTTCCAGTACACAAGTGTGGCTTGTGTATGGACCCACATGGATTTTATTACCCAAATTGGATCACATTGCTTTCTAACTTAGTTACCCAATAGGTCATCTCTATTTTTATATGATCTTGGGAAGTAATCTATTGCTTGACCTTGGGCCAGGTCGCTGGGTGGGGCAGATAGCTTGAGCTCAATTGCTAGCCACATGGTTGGTTGGCAATTCTTCCACCTTGGGAGGAAAGGCCTGGGTATTTGCTTCCTTGAAGATCACAGCCCCAAACTCCCTCCGGAGCACTTCGACTCTGCAACCGTGGGCTCACCATGGGTTGGAACTGACTCAGCGGTCCATTACAATTGGTTCCTAACTCCCCATGCCTACTCATTAACCTGCCTTTATATTTAAGGGGCAGTTGGTTAAACATTGAGCGAAAGATCAGAGGTTCGAACCCACACTCATCTGGAGACAGATGAGACCATCTGCTCTATGAAGACTTACAGCCTCAGAATCCCTAGGAGTAGGAATGGACTCAATGCAAATGGGTTTTGTTTGTTTTTCAAAGTTGAACGTTCCCAGTGCTAATTGTGGTAGTTGCTGTGGGACAGCTCCACCCTTCCTGTGTGCCTGTTCACTCAATGTGCCAATGAAGGTTGTTTTGTTTTGTGACCCTCAGAGATTTCTCTGACTACCCCAATAAAAATTGTTCTACGCAGGATCCCATTGTTTGAAAACACAAATGTCTGTTCACAACTTTGCCTGAAGTACAGCATCCGCCTTCCATATTCCAGATACCAGGTGAGCCCCGTCGATTTCTGTGGCCTCTAGGAGACAGAAGATTCCTCTCAACAGGACTGAGATATTGTTTCTTTTCACTCTGATGAGCAGGGGCTCAGGGAAGTATTTTCTTAGCTTGGTATTGCACTGTAGGATAAGATAAATACTGGGCTGCTAACCTCACACAGTTCAAAATGCTCCTTGGGAACCCTATACAGGATCGCTTTGAGTCAACAGCACTTAACAATAGAAAAATAACAGGTACTTCTTACCCCAGTGTGTGTTGGAATAAAATCCACAACTACCAAATCAGAGTAGAGGATAATTCTCTAAATCGGTTCATCTGAGTGATACATTTCTGCCTGGCCCTTCAGTTCTCATTTTGCTACTGACTCATTGGTCCGTAAACTGGTGTGTGGATGCCACCAACCCAGAGTACAGGGCAGGTTTATGGGGAAATGCAGAGAGAGGAAGAACTGTTTCTGGAAGGAAGACTAAGCCCTGAATGAAAGGTGGGGTGGGAGTGGAGGCTTAAACATTGAGATACTTTATGAAAATGCCAAGCACTGTGTTGAGACTTGCAAAAGTGCAATTAGAGAGAATACAGACATCAACACCAGGAGGCTTGTTTCTCCTTCCCTGGCAGAAATGCTGAAGTCACAGAAGTCACATACCTGGAGATCTGGCACCCATAGTGCTCCAAGATGGCTACCCTCATAAGCTTGAGTGGTCCAGTGAATGCCTTTATTGACAGGTCCAGCTCTGGCAACTCTCCAAAACCTCAGAGTCCATCCCATTTTTCAAATTTTGTTTTCTTTTTCTCTTTAATTTCTGAGCATTTTCTAAGCCACTCTGACAATAGGCCCGATCATGGCTTTTATTTACTGTTGTTTTTGAGTGTTGTTCAGTTGGTTCTGACTCATAATGACCCTGTGTAGGGTTTCAAAGGCTATAAATCTCTCTGGGAGCAGAAAGCCTCATTTTTCTCCCGTGCAGCAGCTGGTGGATTCAAACTTTGGGACTAGTGGGTTAGCAGCCCAGCGTGTATCCTACTACATGACTGTTTTTTGAAATTACTGAGCCTCAGCTTGGAGGAGGTGTGTGCATCTGAGTGTCTGACCAGGGAGTATCTGTGTTAGAGGGTGTTTTCTGCATTACATGTGTACACTCATTTCTCAATCGACAATTCTTATTTTCCCTTGGCTATTCTGTGTCTTCTGATTATTTTGAAGGTTCATAGTGTCTTTTTAATATTTTACTTTAAAAAAATTACCCAAAGTAATTAGGAGTTCTGGTGTGGCACTGTAAAATAAGCACTAGACTGCTAACTGCCAGGTGGGTGGTTCAAACCCACCAGCAGCCCCTCAGAAATTCTATATAGGATTGTTATGAGTTGGAAGTAACTTGATGGCACGTAACAAAAACAGCAACTAAAGGTAATTAATGCTGATATATTCAGAATCTGTAGATAAAGCCTTAGGAAATGATCCACCCACTTTATTTCTAATAGGAAAAGTAGAAACAATCTAAATGTCTAGCAACAGAGAGTCAACTAAATAAGTTGTAGCACAATGAAATACTACACAGCTGGTAAACATAAAAGGTTTGTAATAACATGGATTACTTATATGATAATTATGTGGGAGAAGCAGGCTACAAAATGTTATGTGCAGAATAATTAAAATAACACCAAAAATTATGTGGATGAAAAAAGAAATATAACAAAATGAAATAATGATTGTCTGGGTAAAACTATGGGCTACCTTTTTTTAAAAAACCTCTTCCTACATTTTCCTTTTTAAATAGAAAAAGAAAAAAAACAATAGCGGTCCCACAGTTTTATCATTCTCTCTCTTCTCC